ACACAGCGTATGGCTGCATCCACTTATGACATCACTGTAGCTGGCCAGAAAGAGAGGAGAGTCAGAGAGAGCCAAGCTGACGTCATCCCATTCACTCAATGTCAATTACGTAATCACGGGGTCCAACGCCTGCAGGACAGACATGCTGTGTGTGTTTTTTTTTTGTTGTTTTTTTTTTTTTTTTTCTGTGTGTGTGTGATTGCATGAAGGGCAAAGAACACATAATTGCAATCTCATGTGTGAGAGGAGACATAAACTGAGGCATGCTGATGACATCATTAGCGGGAGGCGGCCTGGCGTGAGCGCGGCGGCTGTGACACGTCGAGAGTGTTTTGGGCAGAAGAGGAGGAGACAGAGCGCTGCGAACAGACCCGGCTACAGGAGTTATGCAACGCAAATCCAACTCAACAGACTAGAAAGGACCTTTTTCTTTTTTTTCTCTCTCTTTTGCCTCCTCTCTGTGTGTGTGTGTGTGTACAGTGTGTGAATGTGCGCGTGTCTTAGATGACTTTTCTGTAGCACTTTTTACTTCAGGCAAAGAGTGCATTAAAAACACACAAGCACTCAAGCATACTGCTGAAAACGCACACTGAGATCTGCACACACACACACACACACACGAGCATGCATATACATACACACACTCTCTCCCTCTCTCTCTCTCTCCCCCCCACTTATAAACAAAGCTTCCTAAGGACAGGAAATCCTTCCACCCACGTTCCTGTGTTGCCTGGCAACCAGAGCAGCGTCACCGTGTGCATGCCTCCACCGCTGAAAACACACAAACAAGCAGACGGAGATGCGCACACACACCGACACAAACTGCAACTCCTTGAACTCTGCTCCTTTAAAAGCACCGAAAAAGCACCAGATAACCGAGCCAAAGCCGAGCAGGCTGATACTCGCCACAGCTGCCCTCCGATACGTCAGCGATGGATCTAAACCAAACATGACATCACCCCTTGTAAACATAAAACACTTTTTCCCCCCTATTTATAAGCTCTATTTTTACACCCGCTGACGTCTTTCCATGCATGATAGTGCGCGTGCGCGTCGGTCCGTCTGCATGTGTCAGTCAGTATTTATGCGCGCGTACTTGTCCGCCACTACGCCAGGATGCGACCAGCAATAGCTCAGCATGACTAAGTGGGGAGAGGCTAATTGAGCAGAGGTGCCCAGCACTGTGGACAATGAGTCCATTTCAAATCAGCAGGAGGCCTATTGAAGACAATTATAACCTGGGGGATACAGAGGAGCATTAGTCTTCTAAGCCATCTCGGCCACTTAGACCCGGCTGTGTTTCCACTGCAATTTAAAACCCTTGCTTTTAACTCTCCAGTTGTTTTAGCACATGAACTCTACATGAAAGGCAAAGTTCACCAATCAAAACCTATTCACAATTTAAATTAATGACCGCAAACTTAGTCATATGAGTCCCGCGTCTGAGTGGAAAATACACAGTGTGAGCGGATTTGCTTCCTGTTAGCCTTCTTCTACACTCTAATTAATTAAGCATCGCAGCGGCGAGTCCATGACGACACTTTTTCCAAATAAAAGATGCACCATTCATCCAGAAGCCACATATTCAATAAATTCTGGTACATATTTGCCAACTTATGCTGTTTTATTCTGGAGTCAAATGACACAGTCGGTCAATTAACGCTAAAGCACTGGCACTGAAAGAGTTTTTGTTAATCCTAAAACTTTCTCTCAGCTTGCTGTCAATGTTTAGACCCTTGCTGAGCCTTAAAAGATCATAAGTCAGCTGAAAGACACTGAAAGCATTTGCATTCGAGGCAGCTGCTGGCTGCCAAAAAACTCATCATTTAGGAGGGAAAAGCTGCAGTGTGGAACTTTTGTTAGTGACGGTATGTTTACAGCGCGTGCATCGCTGTCCGTTCCTTTCGTTTTTCGACTGTAATCCTTCCTATGAAGCGTCTTTTGTATGTGGAGCATCAGATGCTTCCTGGGGTTTTTCTCCACATGTTCCACCTTAGTTGCTGCTCCATCACTACAGTTGCTTCCCTCTTTGACCCCGGTGCACCGATAGCTGGCGTAACATGCGTCTAGCTGCTGGTAAAGCGGTGTGTAAATGTGCCACAGAAACCACATTTAAAAACTGCACCTGGTTGAAACATCCGTGGGTTTAACCAGCATTGCGTTGGGCTTGAATGTCACAGAATCATTTATATGTTAAAGTCCTGCACTGTAACTTTAAATATACAACTCATGTAGCCACTGTGCAATTGCTTCACCACAAAACACGGTGATGAAGGTGCATTACAGCACAAAAACTGTCTAATTCCAGTCAGAGTGGCAGAAAAATGAAGACAAGTGTGGTTGAGATGAACACTTGTGTACAGTTTGTTAAACTTCTACTGAAGGAAATGACAACTTTTAAACCATCAGGCAGGATTTTGCTGGATGAAAGATTAAAGAAACAGTTAAGTGAGTGCTTAACTATTGATTATGTTGGCATGAATATCTATTTAGTGTCATATTTTGAAAGGAAGTGTGCTTGCTGTATGATGAAACCAACAATTATTCCCATTTTCGATTAATCTGTTGATCATTTTTCCAATTAATCTATTAGTTAGGTTTACAAAATGGTGAAAAATGTTAATCAAAGCCCAAGACGAAGTCCTCAAGTGTCTTATTTTGTCCGAAATCCAAAGATAATTAGTGTACTGCTGTCACAGAAGAGTAAAAAAAACCTAAAGATGTTCATATTGAAGTTGCTTGAATCAACTTTTTTTCATAAAAAGCTACCCAGACAGATCAATCGATTCTCAAAATAGTTGAAATAGTTAAAATAACTTCACAGTCGCCAACTAATTGATTAATTGTTGCAGATCTAAAGGAGCTACAAGGTTATTTGAGTGCAGCTTGTGCTTCTCATTGACCCAGGGATCTCTGGTTAATGGATCGAGCTGCTTTAATTTTGAATTTTCTTTCATTTTTTCGCAGCGAAGGGGGGGAGTTTGGGGGGTTGGTTAACAATGACTTTAATTAGTGTAACTATATTTGGTGCGCTTTGATCCGGTGGGAATCAAACCCTCGACGATGGAAAGCGGCAGAAGCAGCAATCTACTACGCCGAGACAGAAGTGCTTCAACTCCTGCTGCAGACATGTGCTGTGTCTTTAGGAAAGGAAAAAACACATTTCCTCTGTAATGTGGTTCAGCAACACAAACATTTCTGCACCCTCACACAGTGTCCTCTTTTCCCAGAGTAAATATGCTCCATCATAGGAATAAAACTTAAGAAGTCAGGGTATTTTTATCACTTTTGCTGATGAGGTGCACTTCTGTAGTGTTTACCTTTCAGAACTAAATGTGCCGTAGCCTCTGCTGTACCCTTCTTTTCTGACAGTGCACTTTAGACACACCGCCATATGGCTCCAAGCCACAGCTGACCAGAGCACAGCGGTGGGTTATTGTGTAGCTCCAGGCACTGCTAGTACAATCAGAAATATTAAAACGGCCATTTTTGAGTATTTATGCTGAATAAATCATGAGCTGGCATCCAAGAAAACTGTCTAGCTGCTGCTTTTATTCAAAACGCGTGCTATTCAATTCATTCACACATGAATTATAGATCCATTATGGACTGTTTTAGCCGTGCTGAGGGAATCAGACAAACAACAGTTGTAGTGAGAGCACTAACCCACTGATCCATCCATACCAATTATCTGTGTCTAGGGTGGAGTCTGAATTCAATATTCAATTTACACAATTCAATCTCACATCAGAGCTGAGCCAAAAAAAAAAAAAAAAGCAACAGCGGAGGCTTTTCTCTGACTGTCTCCAAAGTGTTAAAAAAAAAGAAGAAGAAGAAGAAGCGGGCTAACTGAACGTCGCGCCACAGGGGTGTCCATTGAGAGACAGGGAAGAGGTGGAGGGGCGAGAACTCCATTGAGCGCAGCCATGGGGGGGTCAATATGTGAATGAACGTTTGCCATGGAGGTGAATTATGAATGAGCAGCACTCTGAGCACTCCTGGAGAGAGCATGTCAGCCCCGCTCTCCTTCACTTTCTCCTCCTCCTCCTCCTCCTCCTCGTCCTAAAATCACCACCATCATCACCACCATCATCATCATCCCTATCCTCTCGTCTCCTGGATTAATCTCCTCATCTTGCCTCGTTCTTGGTCATCTGACCCTCACCTCCTACAGACATATATTTACACAGTGGGCAACAAGATAACACACACACACACATAAAAAAGCAAACAGTCCTCGCACGTGCAAAAGGCAGACGCATGCATTAAAGTGAAAAGGCTCTCGGCAACACACACATTTCTCCCAGCTGTTCTCCTGGCCATCACTGCATGTGTGTGTGTGCGTGTGTGTGTGTGTCTGCGAGTGTATTCGTCTGTGTGTAATCCAATGTGCTGCTGCTCAGCCTGTGCCACGCTCTCTCCTCTGTTGCTGTGCGTCTGATCAGATCTGCCTCCCTCAACCTGTTTGCTGTCTATGGCACACACACACACACACACACACACACACACATATATATATATAATAAAACATAGACGCTGCTGCTACTACTTCTCTTAAAACTGTTGCCCGCTGCACTAAAAAACTCCTCAGAGTGGAAGAAAAAGCAAGAAAATGGACTCTTAAAATAGGAGTGTTGTGTTATGCCCCTCTCTTTTGTTTTGTGTGTGTCAACTTAACCAGAGAAGTGTGTTTTGCTGGAATAGGATCTGGCTGTTCCCTTAAAAAAAAAAAAAAAGTATCCACTCCTTTGGATCCCTTCACTCCAGTTTACAGCGGTCACTTCAGCTCACTTACACACTTTGGTTGGACCCCCCCTTTTTTTAGCATGTGGAAAAACAAGCCTTATAATAACTCACACTGTGCATGTACATATAAATATATATATAGGCTGCACACACACACACACACCTCCACACTTCCCTTTAAAGTGCACATGTCAACACACACCTCCCAAACCTGCACACACACACACACACACAAAAAAGCCTCATAAAGTCACCTTAGGATCCTTGGCTGCTTCCAGACGAGCCTCTTCTTCTTCTTCTTCTTCTTCTTCTTCTTCACACTCTTCCTCTGTCAAGACTTCTCACCTCCTTCCTTCCTTTCCTTCCTTCCTTCCTTCCTTCCTTCCTTCCTTGCAACTCCGTCTCTTTTTTTTCTCTCCCCCCTCTCTCTCTCTCTCTCTCTCTCTCTCTCTCCTCTCGTTTCGGTGCTTCTTTTCGGTCACTTCCCAGCGTTTTTCCCGAGCCCCTCCATGTCCGCCCCGCCAGTCGTTTCTAACCACCGAGCGAGCGAGCGTTGAACCGACACACACACACACAAGCACACACACACCAAAAAAAAAATCCGCCGCCGCCGCCGCTGCTGCCGCCGCCGCTGCCGCCGCTGCTGCTGCTGCTGCTGCGTTCCTATAGTCTCTCTCTGTTTATCCCTCCGTGTGTGTGTGTGTGTGTCTCTCTCTCTCCTCTGTCGGTGAGTGTGTGTCTGTTTGTGTGTGTGTGTCAGTGTGTGTGTATGTGTGTGTGTGTGTGTTGCTGCCTGCCTTGCCCCGCCAGCAGCAGAGGACTTCCCCCGGAGCCCGCCCCGGGTCCTAGAGGGAGCCGTGTTCACTGAAAGAATGCCATTGTGTACGGAAGGTGTAAGCCCGAGATCGTCTCCTGCGTCGACAGGATGGCTCACTCCGGATCTCCTGGTGAACGAGTCAGGCTGAGAGAGGGCGCCACCTGAATTTTTTTTTTCACAGAGGTGGAAAGATAAGAGAGGATAAGATAAGAACTTTTTATAACATGAGGGATGCAGTTCCTACTAGAAATGTACAACATGCATGACTGAAAATAGAAATATAAGTAAGCCGGTATATAAGATTAGAGTGGAAAAAGTAATACTTGCAGTGATGTTGAGGCAGTAGCATCACCCATGATAAAAAAAATAAATAAAATAAAAAAATGGCATGCACGTGAAATTGAAAAAAGTGCTGCAAATCAAAGTGAATTGTTACACATAATGAAAGAAAATGTGAAAATCAATTTGAGATATTGTGCATTTTTTCAAGTTTTGTAAATGAAATTAAAATGCTACATGTAATTTTTAAAAAAAATTGCAAATTAAAGTGAAATTTTACAAGTGATTTTTTTAAATGATTGCAGATGACATTGAAGTATAAGACATGATTTTTTTTTAAAAAGTAAATCAAAGTGAAATGTTACACATAATGAAAAAAATCCATTTGAAATATTGTGCATGATTTTTTTTTTTAAGTTAATTTAAATTAAAATTAAAATGTTACACATCATAAAATTAATTTGCAAACTGGAGTGAAATGCTACATGTGAGTCTAAAAAAATCATTGCAGATGACACTGAAGTATTAGACATGATTTAAAAAAGTGCAAAAGATAAAATAAAGGAAATTGATACGATAATGAAATATTGCACATGAAATGTAAATGTTTCATATACAAAAAAATATTTCAAATCAAAGTGAATTGTGAAACATTATTTTTATTTATTTATTTTTTTAATATTCCAGATGACATTAAAGTATTAGACATGATGATAAAAAAGAAATATTGTAAATCAAGGTGAAATGTTAGACATGAAGTAAAATTTTTGCGAATCATTTTGAAATATTGTACACGGTAAGAAAAAAGTGGTGCAAATGACATTGAAATGTTACAGGATTTTTTTTAAAAATGAGACATGATAATGAAATATTGCACATGAAATTAAAATTTTCCATATAATAAAAAATATAGGTGAAACGTTACACTTGATGACAAAAAACTTTGGCCTTGCAGCCCAAAATAATAACATGCACATGATACTGAAAAAAAATACACATGATGAAAAAGATACTGCAAATCAAAGTAAAATGTTGCAAAATACAACTACAGCATTGAAAATTTCAGTTGTTGCCAAACATCTGGATCGTGAAGTGCAGCAGCCCTGCTAGTTTATTCAGTGAATTATCCATTTTGATCACAATGCAAACTCTGAATCAGAATCACTTTAATTGCCAAGCAGGTTTTCATGTGTCTGGAATTTGACTTGGTAATTTTGTGCATAAAAGTAAACACTAACAGGGAAAATCTTTTTAAAGAAGGAAAAAAAAAAGATTTTTACTAATAAAAGCAAGTGTTGCAAGTCAATAGGCAGGACGTGTTACAAGACAAATTAAACAGCAAGTGTAGGAAATCTTTGGTATAATAAAAGCGCTGACCACTGCAAGCTTCCTAACTGGCGCGGTGCAGTGGCAAACCATTGAAAGCAGCAGAGCAAACAGGGCATTCCAGATTTCTATCTCCCTCGCCACATTATTAGGTCCTCCTGGGGGATCCTGAGGTGTTCCCAGGCCAGATGAGACATGTAACCCCTCCAGTGAGTCCTGGGTGGTACCCAGGGGTTTCCTCCCAGTTGGGTGTGCCTGGAAAACCTCCAAAGGAAAGCACCCAGGAGGCATCCTAATCAGATGCATGAACCACCTCAGCTGGATCCTTTCAACACGAAGGAGCAGCGACTCTACTCCGAGCTCCCTCAGGATGTCTGAGTTCACCACCCTCACTCTGAGGCTGAGCCCGACCGCCCTATAGAGGAAACCCAATTTGGCTGCTTGTATCTGCAATCTCATTCTTTCAGTCACTATCCAGAGCTCATGGTCACAGGTGAGGACTGGAATGCAGATCGACTGGTAAATCATGAGCTTCAACTTCTGCTTCAGCTCCCTTTGAGCCGTGGATGGGATGAGATTCTGTCCCCAAGCAACAGGGTTTAAATATCTCAGCATCATTAGATTATTAAAACTTAAACTACACAAGATAAGAACATGAAGACACACGTCAAAGTGTCCTTGTTCAACATCAAACTGTATCCATCCAGCGTGTAGTTTCTTTCCTTTATCTGCAGATTCTGGGTAAAATCTAAATCTAAATATGAAATAAATACAAATATAAAAAGTACAGACTGCTTAAGATTTCAAAAAAACAAACAAACCCTACTAAGCAGACTTATCTTCAGGCAGGTCTATTTCGGTGTGTCGTGAATTCACATGCACGCCCCTAAAACCATCATACAATGAAGCAAACAAAGCTAATGAATGAAAAACAAAGCACAAAAGACCTGAACCTGTGTGCAATTACTGTGTCTCCAGAGTAAGATCATTATAAATGGGAAGCATAGAAATTTCCAGGTCACAGGCATCACTGCAAAATGCATCAAGGCAGACGTCTGCAGAGGAAACAGATCTGCTCGTTATGATGTCTGTAACTGAGACACGGTGATAATTGTGTAGAATCACAGACCTAAGGAGCCTCATCCAGCACAGTTGACATCCAAAGGTAAAGCGTAGGGTTTCTTTTTTTTTTCCTTTTTCCTTTTTTTTTTTTTTTTTTTGCCAGTAAGTTGTTTTGAGTCTGTACCCGAGTGGTCGCTATGGCAACAGCAGGGCAGAAGCAGAGGCAGGGAGTCATGCAAGGGTGTAGAAGGCATTATAGATGGAGGATGGAGGGGGGGGGGGGGGACTCGGTCCTCTGCACATGATAGTTTGAGCTCCGTTGTTTCTCCAGATCATAAATCATATTTTTCATTTGCTGAAGTCAGTCATGTCGAGCACCCTTTAAAACTATTTCCTTTATACTGTGTGTGAGAATCCACCTCGGCTTATCGTCTCACACAGACGCGCACAGAGTTCCTCCAAAATAGTTTCTGAACTCGGCCACAGCTGCTGTGCGAGGCAGAAAGCAAACACTGTAAATGTGCCACACACGTTTTTTTTTCTTCCCCTTTTTTAACCGAGTGAGTCATCTGCTCAAACACAGTCAATCTTTGGTGCAGCTACCTTCTTCCTCATCTCCCTACCCCTCCCTCCCTCTTCTCCCCATCCTGCCTCAGAGCGTCATCAGGTTGCCATAGCAACGGCCCGCCTATGGGAGACAGAGATCAGATCATTATGGACCATGGGATCCAGAAACTGAAGGGCATGATTTTTTTTTTTTTTTTTCCTATCTCTCTCTGTGAACACAGGAAGCGGGAACCCTTAACAGGACGGCTTGAACTCTCTTTAAGTTAAACAGCCACTAAAACAGTGCACACAGAAGTTTTGCTGAGTGCAGTTTGGGGGGTTTGAAATTTGGTTTTAAAAAAAAGCAGCTGTCACAGTCAATTTAAGCCCTTCAAAAACATAAGTAATGCAGGTCTACCACCCCGGCATGCTGCTAAAAATAAACCCAATTTGATTAGATATGCAAAACTGGCTGCACTGAGATGTAAACATGTAGCCTCCAGAAACGGTTAACCAGAACTTGCTAGCACACTTCTGAATTAATGGATCTGTCAGACGTGGCAGTGATCGGCCGACTGAAAGCCCACAGTCAGGAAATCCAAATGTGCTCTCATTTTATTTATGGGTGGGGAAATCGAAGCGGGAAGAGTGCATTGCACTGTGTTCAAGTTAAGAGACGGAAGCACGAAATACACCAAGGAAACTGTTTCGTTTGATAAAGATCAAAGAGAATTGTTGGGAGAATGAAGTGTGTTTACGAGTCCTCAAATCCAGGCTGCTTCTCCCTGCCCCTGTTATTAGTGGGAGGCCGTGTGTGTACGTGTGCATATGTGTGTTTGTACTGCACGCCCAGAGGGCTGCATTAAGCTGAAGTGACAGTGGGGATCTTTAAGATGTCTTCCAAAGTTTGCTTTTGAGGGAGATCTTATCTCTGAGCCCCAAAAACAGGAGGAGAGGAAGAGGAGGGAAAAGATGAGAGGAGTGTCGAGGAAAAGCCTAAGCCAGTAGCCGTGTTTCCATAATATTGTCAAGGAAATTTGAAGCAAACTCTGGAAATGTGGCAAAAATAAAGAGAGAAAATGCTAATTAGGCTTGTTTCAATGAACTGCTGTGGAGGCTGCATGGTGTCGTCAGAAGGTGGCGCTATACACAATGCATGGCTGCAATAAACAGAGTAGAAGAAGTGGGAAACAAAATGTGGTGTTTGCCGACTGATAAAAAAAAACCTCAAAGAGGAAGAAGAAACAAACAAAACTTTCACTATCTGTAAGAGAAAAATCAACAAGCCTTTCCGTCTTCAGAAGTAGTTTGCAATCGGAAAAGTTATAATTTTTCTTTCACTGCAGTAGCTATCGTCCATGTTTCACGAGAAGACAAGAAAAGGAGCGGCAACACTCGATTAGTCGTGTTAGTTCAACTGTTTGCTACACAAAGACTGCAATGCTGCGATGAACAGGGTGGAAGACGTTGGAGTCACGAACTGGAAACAAGCTCAGTTGTTTTTCAAAAATGTCAAATAAAGTCAGTATTTAGTAGTGAAATTGAGTTTCTCGATTTTTTGAAGGTTTTTCAAATTTTGCTGT